TATTGCAACTGAATTGTTATACTCAGTTAGTTTCCTGTACAACCTGGTCAAAATGGACGCCACTGAGGCCAAACGTAAAATTTAGTTGAACGTGTATGATTATTTTGTAAAAGAAAAAAATCATGGTGGAGTACTTACTTCAGTAATGGCAGTTCAACAAAGAACAGCGGATGCGGTGCCAGTATCGAAACAAACAGTTGTGAGGACATGTGCTATGCGAGAGATTGGAAGTGATTTAAAAAGAAATACATATCGCCGTTCTAAACCACGTAGGACGGACCTACTAGAAAATAAAAAGCATACCATCCGATATCTGATTTATGATATGTACGCAAATAAAGAGCACGTAACTCTAGATACTTTGTTGGCGGTGATAAAATTGAAAGACTTGTGTGATTTGGGCAGAACAAGCTTGTTCTATGCACTGAAAGAAATGGGCTTTAAATTTAAGATGACCAATAGCAGACGGGGTTCGTGTGAACAAAGTCATGTGGTTTCCATGCGGAATGTGTTTTTGCGAAAATACATCAGAAATCTCGAATCCGAAATTCCGCATGATTTCGTTTTTTTAGACGAAACCTAGGTGTTTAGCAGAGGCGCAACAAAGCGTACTTGGCAAGATGACCGCGCTAAAAGTTTGCAACAACTCATAAGGCTTCAGATGGTAAACGATACATAATTATTCATGCTGGTGGCAAAAATGGGTTTATAGAAGGCAGCAGCTTAATATTTTCGAGTACCAACAAATCGTTCGATTACCACGACAATATGAACGCCGAACTATTTGAAAAATGGTTTGAAGAATCTTTCCTAAAGAAACTTGCTCAGCCCTCAATTATTGTTTTAGACAATGCATCTTATCACACGCGGAAAAGTGAAAAGATTCCAAGAGCTTCTTCAACCAAAGAGGAAATTTCGAATTGGTTGAAAATGAAGAATAGACCATTTGGTACTGCGATGTTTAAGGCCGAATTGTTAGAAATTGTAAAAAATCACAGTCAAGCAACCATAACTAAATATGTTGTCGATGAAATGGTATTACAATATGGCCACGAGGTTCTGCGTTTGCCGCCTTACCATTGCCATTTCAATCCCATTGAACTGGTATGGGGAATTTCGAAAAAGTTTTACGATGACCATATTGTTGGTACGCCGGGAAGACCAGAAGATGTTCTTAAAACCTGGAACGACGCATTAGCTAAAGTAACTCCAGACGTGTGGAATGGCTGCGTAACCCATACAGAAGAAATAATCAAGGATACCTTCAATCGTGAAAAAATTATAGACGATGTAAGGGCTTTGGTTTTTACTGTAAATACAGGAAGTGATGAAGAAAGCGATTATTTAAGTGAAAGTGACAACGACGCGTGAATTCAGATGAACTTAATTCATGTCGATTATTATAATAGGTAGCAATTAAGTAAATAATGTACATATTTTCATGTTTATTTGTAACAAATGTTGTAATTTTTAATGTGAACTGCTAAAATACAAGCATGATTTCGTATCGTAACTGGTGTAATATTTATATTCTGTTGAGAACTGCTGACTGGTGGGTGATTGGTGCTTATTGTTCTATTCATTTAAACAAGCCGTAAGGATTGTTTTGAACGACTTTCGCCCTTAAAAATCCGGTTTTTCCCATACATTTAAGATGCAAATCCAATATTACCATTTATCGCAATACTATTGGGAACACCCCCAGCGTTAATGAGAAAAGTAACATTATTTGCTGAATACACATACACGATCCTCATATACCCCCTTTTAGCTGCGACTGTAAACGAGAAAACGATTCAAGTTGCGAGGAGATCATGTGGCAACGATTGTGATTGGCTCAAGAAAAATGCTATAGCAGACCTATACTGTTCGGATTGCACAAACGACTACTGCAATGATGACAAATTTTGATCAATAAGAGCAAGCCTCCATAAGGATTATAAACATTTTTCTGCATACTATACTATGTTATTATATTATTTTTATTTATTATATTTACTTTTTCGTGTTTATCCTATAAACTACTACGTATTTAAGGATTATGTTGACAATTGAGCTTCTTCAGGCATACGAATTTTGATTGTTTATTTTCATACATAAAACCATTGAATATCCAACTCCAGTTGGATATTCAATGATAAAACAGAACTGATACAATTACTTAAAGTAACTCGACGTGTCGATGAAGATGTACTTGCCTTTGATGTCACTACTTGCGAAATTTCATTTGTGAACATTTTTGTTATTCTGAAACACAAACTCGAGAAACCAATTCCTTGAAACAACTGATTCAACTGTTAATATTTTTCCTTTACGTTTATTTTTCGAGTTTACAAATAAAAAGGAATCAGTGGAATACGAGTAATGGGTTTTACTTCCTAAACAATGGCCGATGGCTAATTTCGATTCCTTCATATTTTATCGTTCACTTTAGGTAAACAACTAATCTGGTATACCTACCACCATTCACCGTTCCACGATTCTGAAAAGGTACAGTCCCCACAGTAAATCAGAAGATACAGATACTTCGCAGGACTTTATAAAATAAACCGATACTACGAAATATCGAAGGATCCTCAGTATTACAATAACTTTTAACGATAATTTATTTTAATGTTACAAAATACATCAAATTCATGTCTTGGCCATTGAGATAATGCTTTTAATCTTGTTTTGATCAAAATCCATGTGGTCGCCAAAAATAGATCAAATTCATGTTTTGATCATTGAGATAATGCTCTTGGTCTTTTTCCCAACGTTCTTGGTGCATAAATAACGATTTTGACATGTTTTGATCAAAATCCATGTGGTCGCCAGAAATGCATCAAATTTATGTCTTGAGCATTGAGATAATGCCCCTTGTCTTTTTCTCGACGAATCCTTGGTGCATATAATACA